CAAGTCAAACCAACCACTAGTCGGGTTTTTTTCTCGATTTGACTCGAATTGCGGTTTGGTTCGGTTTTCGATTCGATTTTGTACACCCCTAGTGTCAAGGATGTTGCGTGCAAACATTCCTTAGCAATATTTTTTATTGTCATCTAATGTTCAATATTTATATAAGGATAGGGATATTCTTGGGACGACTCTCCCAAGACCTAACAAGAACTTTTCTCATCTTCTTGAACTCAAATTGAGTTATCTGATGAAGGATGCACACTAATTAATATCTCGATATATACTTTGGTAGTCAAATTTCTTATAAAAAATAATTTTTAAAAGATGAAGTGGTGATCTAACAACTCCAATTCTCCAATCATAACCAAAACTTTTAAAGGAATTTATCGCTAAAGCAACAGAAAAAAGTGCTTTATTTCTAGCTATGACGATATATTAATTAACATACCTAATTGAATGGAAAATGATGCTAGTGCTTCTAATTTAAATTTTTTTTATTGTTCTTTCATTAATCACTTTTTGACCGATTATTTGTTATGGAGAAAAACATACGTTTGGGAGAAGATTCCAACAAAAGTAAAGTCTAAAATGGATTTGCTTGGCGAAAGCATCCAATAATTCAACTTAATTAATGAAACTTAATATAAAGTTTAGGAAACGATAAGAAAAGGAATTAATGACACTAGCTTGGTCTAAATTGTAATGTGATTTAGTGGTCTGTTCAACCAAATTGTAAATATTATCACAAATTTTAGTTGAACGATTTTAGGCTTTTTCTTAAAAGAAGAAAAACTTGCATGTACTTTAAATAATTTATCGACTTTAAAGAAAAGGAATCGAAAAACTCAAAATACAGGCCGTTTTCATTTTAATTAAAGCACTCTCCACCATATAGATATGAATTATTTGAGTTAATAAATTTCGAATACCGAATGATTTAGTCCAAAAAACCATATATGATGTACTTTCCCTGAATCGATCAAGGAAATCGGGTCCAATTGGACCATATTATAATTTTAATGGAAGATAATGATCGTATATGCATATTATAATTAATTAGTAGTAGTAATTAATGATAAAAGATGCATATATATGAACCTACGATATATTTATTGATTTGACGTAATTATTAGGTATAATTGATTTTTTTCTCTTTTCTTTTGAGTACGGTGTGAAAAAAATATCATACAGAGGTGTATATTATGAGGTTCTTAATGTCCAATAAATATTATAGTATTGTAAAGGCTAACGATAAGAAATGTCCCTACACTGATAACAAGTTTAATACGACTGCCAATTGGTGGGTGGTACTATATTATGTTGTGTAGTTAAACAATACAAATGCATAGTATATTATATATATAGAGAGAGGG